GGCAATCTGAAGTTGATCCCTGGAAACCATGCAAAGGTTTAAGGAGAGAGCTGACTCCGCACAGTTGTACTATGACTTCCATGTGTGTGCAATGGATATCTGCTCCCAGCTATATATCATATACACACATACCCACTAAAGTATGACTTAGTAATTTCTATTATATAAAAAATACTCATATAGTACACTTAAAGTCTACAAATTGAGAAAGCTAAGCTAGACAAATATTGGTAAAATGTGTTTATGAGTATGTATTTATTTAGACAGTAGTTCTGTTGTTGTTTTTGTTTTGATTTTTTTACAGGGTCACCCTTGTCCAAGCCCACGTGGAAGTCACAATGTGAACCTTGCTGACCTTCATCTCACAGAGATCTTCCTGCTTCTGTCTACCAAACGCTGGGTTTAAAGGTGCCTGCCACCACACCCACCATCCATTTAGACAGTAGTAAGGGATTAAAGAAGTTTAGACGTTAAAAAGGAAAAATATAATAATTTTATGCATCCAATAAACACATTTCTATGAGAGAGAGAGAGAGATCCACCCAGAGAAGGGTGTAAAGAAATAGAAAGGGTGTTTTCTAAGCCACAGATCAAAGTCCTATAACCATTCACTACATAATACATAATGTATGGCTGTAAAACTGGTAAATAAGGGGCTGAGGAGATTGCTCAGTGGTTAAGAACACTGTTTTTTCTTGCAGAAGACCCAGATTCGAATCCCAGCATCCACATGGCAGCTAACAGTTGTCTGTAACTCCAGTCCCAGGGGATCCAACAGCCTCTTCTGACCTCCGGGGGCATTGCACGACACGGATTCACTTACATACATGCAGGCAATACATGCATACACATAAAATTCTAAAAAAAAATGGTAAATAACTATATTATAAAACTTCTGTAAGGATTAAGAAAATGACAACTAACTCACTTGACTGTATGTACAGCACATAAATAATACTCAGTAAAGTATCATTTTATCATGTTTGATAAAAAGTTGTATTCAGATTCTTTTAAATACAATCATATATTCATATTGATTATTCAATCAATAAACTATATAATGTGTTACACTATAGCCATTTATATGTATTTGTTGTATGACACTATTCCTGGGGAGACATGAACAAAAATCTACCCATCCCAGATAGGGAACCAATAACAGACCAAAGTAAGGATACCACCAAAGTCCAACTTGGTGAATGAATTAGTTTTATTGGGCTTATTTTGAGGAGGTTTCATGATTGGTTACTTACAGAAGCAGAACTGACTCAAAGGCAGCTATATCCCTAAATCCCATGCCAGCATGGGTGACCTATCACAAATCTGGAAGACTGGAACCCACTGCACAACCTGCAGGCTTTGGAAGAGTGTCATTTCAGGGTAACTCTGTGGCTCTAAGCCTGTTTCAGGCCACTGTGCTTGTCTCTGCTTCTTCCAGGGAGCTCTGTTTGAGTGTCTCTTGTCTGTCTTGCAGGGAGAAGCCTCTACCTGTTCAATTTCAAGGACTTCCTATAGCTATTCAGTTGTTTACTCCCTGGGTTAGGAGCAGCCCTGCAGGATGGAATGTTTTCATCCCTTTTCAAATATATCCTACAGTTTACCCAGCTTCCCCCAAAGATGGAAGGTTTGATCTTACGGAGAGGGAATTGCTATACAACAGTATTGACAATATGCATTTTATATATATATA